GTGCACAATGGAGTGCATGTTGTGCGCAAGAATCGCTTTAAATAAGGGACGTTTAATTAGGAGTCATACGGGTGTACAACGCATTGGCAGGGTAGCGTGACTGATCTGACATTGATAAATACCACGCACCTCGACCTTCGGAGGCTTCGTAGTACAGTTGACGCAATATGCAATGTCCACAATGCCCTATGTTCCACCAGGCAGCACACCACTTCCGTTGTTTCAAACTGCCAACATCGCACACCAGTGCAACCCGGCGCGTCATTATGTATAGTGCTGAGGTTCAACGCGACAGGTCGGATGATGATCCTGGTGCCGCGTAGTTCCTCCTTTGGCAGTCGCTGGAGCTTGTGCAGGTTCGTCAGCCCGGATTTGAACAGCTGTGGGCTGGCCAATTTCAATGCATTGCCATAGACTCAATGTTAGGTATCCTCAGCGAGTGGGAGTGACATGGCACATGGGCTCCCGGTTCCTAGGCCTATGTTCGCTGTTATAAACCCAGCGTGGTAACAAATCCCTCTTCCATATTTCCTCATCGCACTTCTTGAAGTGCCCTGCGGCGACCACCAGATGCATTTGGTTGCAGGCATACCGGTGTGGCAGACGCGAAGGTAACGCAGGTGGGGCGGAGGCTGCGACTGTGACGTCACTGTAATGGCCAGGAAAAAGTGCGGGAAAAATCCCCGGATGATCATACCTCATTACACGGCCTTGCGCCCGGCTATGGGCCCCTTCGGAGCCAATGTACCCCTTCGGGGCCCAAGGGGGGGGGGGCATGGCCCCGTGTCCCCCCCTCTGGATCCGCCCCTGTGACCCAAACCAGCATTTTTCCTACTGAGCAGATGCAGCCTATAACTCACCCCGAAGTGATTAACTCATGAGCTAATTCACAATTCAGCTTGTGTTGAGCACAGTTCTGGCTAGCATGTCTATATATGTGTCTGAAATCCTGCACTTTAGTACATGGTCAACTAGTTATGTTGATCACATCAGACAAAGTGGCAACATTTTGGCATGTTAATTGTGTTCTTGACAAAGATTTGGTATCCCATGTCTGACATTACAACTAGATTTGGGTTGAGTCGTAAGTTGACATCATGGATGAGAACTCAACTTCTTTGGAATACGCATGCTAGCGATATGAATATATATATATATATATATATATATATATATATATATATATATATATATGCATATGTATAATATATGTATGTATCTCTCTCTCTCTCTCTCTCTCTCTCTCTCTCTCTCTCTCTCTCTCTCTCTCTCTCTCTCTCTCTCTCTCTCTCTCTCTCTCTCTCTCTCTCTCTCTCTCTCTCTCTTTCAGTGTCTTTAATGCTCATTCTTGTTTGCGGCCATTGCATCAATTTGTGTCCGTTGGCCTCCCAGAACGGGAGAGATTAAACAGCCGCCAAAACCTGTTGACAATCCTATGCTCCGAGCCTATGGCATTAATCAATATGCAACGATCACCATTTCATGCCGCTTGGTCGACAGCTTGTTTTTCCTTAGGACATGGTGACCTTCGGATAGGTCAAAGGTCACCAAAATTCCAAAACGTGGAAAAATCGGCCCGGGAACATCCCCATCTACAAGCGGATGGAGCAGATCACTACAAAACTTTCACTTAGTGATGCGCCATTGTTGGAATCCTCTCTTTTCAAAACATGGTGATGGTTGGTTTGGTCAAACGTCACCAAAAACGCCCGACACCTCCAATTTTGGCTGCAGACACCGCCATGTTCCGAGCCTATGAGACCGATCGGCACGCAACCTTTACCGCCTCGGTACAGTCAAAGTCTGGCCGCATGTCGGTGTCGCTACGGACGTGAGCCATGTTTGGCTGTGTTTTGCGCTGGTGCGGGCCATGCTTTGCGTCGCTGCCGCTGCACCTGGCTTCAGCTGTGCTCCGTGTCAGCGTCTAGCCACGTAAACGCCTGCACAGGCGTGAGCGATGCTCCACGTCCCCGCCGACGTACCATTATGACATGCAAAGAATGTACAGCGCCAGTGCACTGTTTGTCATTTTACAGTTTTTCACTTTCAAATTCGCAATACTGATCCCGTCATGCCTCCAGATTGTATTTTTGCAATCGGTCCCTGTCGCTCATAATCTAAGATGTTTTTTTTTTCTTCTCAAAAATAGGCGCGTGCGGAATAAATCCATTAGGCAACGACGAAAGAAGGTAACTTCCGCGATAAACAACGAAACAGCAGAAGTTCTTTCCCTACGCCGATTCAGTTAACGTCGAGAGCATGTCCGCAACGCGCCGTTTTCATTGGCTCCCGGTTCAAAATGTCACCATTGGGCGACAAATGTCACTTGTCGCGTTTTTCGTTCTATTTTCCCCTAAGCAGCAAAATTGTGTGAAAGGGCATATACGCATGAAGGATGGGTGATGCTTAACCATGGAAAGTCTCCAGGAATTTGGATGTGAAAGTGGCAATGGAATACCTCTTACAATTACAATGTTAGTGATTCTGACGTCAACGAAACGTTCCATGATAAAGTCAAATGATGACGTATTGAGGAGCATAGTTATTAAAACATGAAATCCTGTTGTTGAGAACAGTCTTCCGCACTTAAAAGCATGCCAATAGCTCTAAGTGAGTATTTTCATCGTGTATCAGACTTGTCTCAATATCTTCCAGTAGGAAACAGTCCTCTTAAGCTTTCGTGTTTGCGGTGATGCAACATGACGTGTACAAAGAGCAGAAGACAATTGGAAGGCTCAAGCGCTAACCACAGAAAGCAAGCAATGGTAGACAGTTTTGGATCCTACCCGGACGACTATGCATTGAAAGGATACATAATGCAATTTTTACTCAAGCGTTTTTGGACCGGCACGACACACAACGCCACGTGGCGGTAGTTAAGGAGCGCTCTCGAAAAGTGGTTTACATGTCCCATCGTCGGATTATTGGCACATGAGAGGTTTCGTGGACCAAGAAACCTAATTTTGTCTAAGTGGAACACAAAAGCTACTTTTATTTTGCGCTCACGACACAGTCACGACACCAGGATCCAGCAGCTGGGTCGACGCCACGTCACGTCGACCGTCCACCAGCGTCACGGTACGCGTACGCCCGCACCTGGGCGGCACCGTTGCTCGCGCATCACCGCGCTCTTTCGGTGCCGAGCCGCGCTAAACACCGCCGGAGGCGTGCCACACGACGACCGGCTCAGGTCCGCATCGCGGTCACAGGTGGTGTCTGGCGATGCCTCCAGCCGGTACAGCTTGGCGGTGGGTCGGCGAGTGAGATTTCCGCGGAGCAGAATTGCCGCGGCACGACAGCGGCCATCCGGTCTTTTGATGAGCGAAGCCACCCTGGCCGAAAGTCACGAGCCGCGAGGGCCTCCGCCGTGGACCAGCATGACCTCGCCAACCGCCGGCAGACGGGTGGGTCGGCCTCGGGGCTGCTCCAGCACCGCAGCACCTGCAGACATTCAGTCAGCCAGTGTCGGATCAGGCAACCCGACACAGGTCCACGGCTTCTGCAGGCCCTGTCAAACGTAGCGGAATCATTTCAGTACTCTGGCTTCGCACCCGCTCGAGGTGAATGACACGAAACGTAACACACACGTGATCATTAGTGCCTAGATCTTGTGTCTTCGTCAGCGTACAAGGGAACGGAATAGTCGGTCACCAACATCCAGAATGGCTCTGACATGGCTCTGACCTGGAATGGTGGCAGAAGGCTCTCCACATACCTATGGAGGAGTCCGTTGTGGCACCGACACCTACTGCGTGTGCCGACGACCCTGTGTATGGTTCTCCTGTGAATGAAATACTCTGCAGAGAAAAGAGCAAGGGTGACGCGGACGCCTGGTGCAAACATCGACGATGTCCCTCGTCCACCATCAGCGCTGTGATGTGACTCCACTCGGGCACAACCACTACAGGCGGCTCGTCGGTCCTCGTTGTGGCCTAAAGCGCTCCGTCCCCATCCACACGGGGTCTCACCTTCATTAGCGGCGAACCCACTGGCAGAAGGGAGCCATCTCTCAGCGACTCCAGCTCCCGCGGGGCGCCCGACGCAGTGGTAAGTGGCAGAGGGTGCAGGTCCGAAGCAGTGATCGGCAGGTTCCGATCCGGCCCGGGGGATTACGTATTGCAACGGCATTACAACTTTGACTTAACGTTTCTGAACCGGTGCGGCACACAACTCCACGTGGTGACATTTCAGAGATCACTCTGGAGAAGTGGTGCACGTGTCTCGTCTTCCGGTTAACTGGATGAATTTAGGTAGGTGATTTCACGCTTAGCCAAACATATAGTGGGGGCACAAAACAATGCCTATTTATTTAAGTGCGGCCCATTGTCCCCTTGTCCGAGGTGCTCCTCATGTCCGCTAGGTTCCGTGGAGTGCCGTGCTTCCGCCGTGGGACACGGACACACACCAGTTCGGAGGCCTGACTGTGGCGCCTGTGGTGGCGCGGCTCCGTTGCCGGCGGCTGCTGCTGCGCCTCCGGTGTCGGCTGCGCGGGCGCCGGCTGCGCACCAGGCGCCGCCCGCGCCCGATCCACCCCTGTCACTCTGGACGCGCTCATGCCGGTCCCGGTGCCGGCCGGGCCCACGTCCCAACTGCAGCAGCTGGGGCTGACCGAGATGCCGCAGGGCCTGACTACCGGCAGCGAACACCAGCCAATGCCAACGACAGGAGATTCGCAGGCTGTTCATTATTGAGGGGGAGCCCCTCCCCTTCCCCTCTCCGGAGGAGCGCGTCTGGTCCTGGGGCGCGTCCTGCTATTCCTGATCGTGGTCCATCACATCGAGCAGCGCTCGCCTCTGCGCTGTGGCCGCCGTCCAACGGACGAGCTGTGTCCTGCGACTGACGGCGGCACCGCGGCCTGTACCGGCTCTCGTCTGCACTGTTCGACCGTCTCGGCGTGGAGCCGTCGACTGTGCCACCAGCCGGCCGTCGAAGCTGAGGGTCCGCCCGGCGCCCACGCGACCGCCGCCGGGTCTGCTGCGGCTGACTGTCCGGTCCGGCACCGGTCGCCGATGCCGACCAACCGGTGGCGCCCGGGCCCGTCAGGTACTGGCGCAGCTCGTCCAGGTCATCCCGCGCCCGCACCACGTCTACCGACCGGCTACTACACGCCCGACACGGCTGTAGCCTGGTCCACCTCACTGTTGGCGCCGTGCCGTGTCGCGACGTCGCCGTCCTTCAGCTGCACAAGGTCGGCCAGCATACGGCACGAGGTGCACGGCTTGGCCGAGAGCGAGGCCGCCTCCACCAGCGACACCGCGTTCCGAATCAGCCCGTCCTGGACCGACCGGCACCAATGGCACGGGTTCTCGTCAGACCCGACTGCTTCACTGCTGTCAGCCGGATCAGGCCGGCGGCCGGCAGGCGACAGCGGCGGGCAGTCGGGCCACCGTCACGGCTTGGTCGGCTGCTCGCCGCACTCGATGCCGCTTGCTGCCCCACTGCAGCGGCCCTGCAGCGATACTTCAGCATGCACCACTGCAGTCGCCGCCGCCGCCGCCAACCTCGTTCGTTGTTCATGAAGTCCACCTAGAACAAGAGCGGAGTAAAGCCCCAAAAAGTGGGGAAGCCCGGTGCCAGCGGCGACAGAAGGCACACAAACCGTTCGCCGATGCACAGGAAAGCGCAAATAATTCTTTTAGGAAGGTTTTTGTCAATGACCAACACCACCAGAGTTGCCGCACTCAAGGCAGAACCAACTAATGACCGCACAAATCGGAGACCAGACCGGAGCAAAGCGGAGCCTATCGTCACGGTCCACCCACAAGCAGTGTACAGCACGCTCGGCTAGCAAAGACGTCACGCAGTCGTGAATCCAGAGCCTTGGCAAGGGGGGGGGGGGGGCGCAGGGTTGACGAAGGGTCCCTAATAGTGGAAATTTCTCCCCCCCCCCCAAATCGCCTAGATATGTCCCGTTTGTCAATGAGAGCATGCTCTTCATTGATATTTTTCATTCTCTCTCTGTTCTTGACAAAGAAGCCAGAAGTGACCGCGAGATAAATTTGGACTGCATTTTCTAATGTATTAACTAAAGAAATCATGCGTAAAACGAGTTCATCACATAACGCGTCGGTACTACCCTATTTTACAACGGTCCATTGGACTCTTTCTAAACTGATAGAACTAAGAACCTTCGTCATAATTCTCATCCGGGTTCTGCAGAGGCCCGCGAATGTAGAGTGTATATCAAAATGGGTTAACATTTTGTGTTAACTTGGCCAAGCCATGTTTATCAGGAAGTGTTCAAGATTTAGTCAAAATCGTTTAGTTACACGAATTATGTACGCAGTTTTGAGCATGCACGCTCGCAAACCTTAGTAACAAAACCTCCCCGCGAGGCGTTGCAGTCTCCGTAAGCCGCGCAGCGTCGGACCTGTGGCTAATACTAAGCCGTGGCCAACGAGTGGACGAAAATGATGGCGCATCTGAAAGAAGTACCTTTGAACGCTTTGGGACATCACTGCGTACATTTGGAGGGCAGTCCGGGCATATATTTCATAGGTGCGATTTTTGGATCGATGTTAAGAACAGCCTGGCCTGTGCAGCACCGCAAGATGGCGCTGGCGGTGGAACTGGGGCGGTAAATATAGAACATCTACTTTTCATGTTGCTGTAACTGTTCATCTATCAGGAATACAGCCTCAAAGGTAATGAAGGGTAGGCCCAGTGTTTTCTTTGCACGCTGTGAATTTATGTTGAAGGACATTCGGAACCATTATTTTACGACGGTCGTTCTCGCGCGGGGTGCGTGGTGTTACTTCCAGTGGCCAACGCCATTCCATTTCCCGGAAACTGCAACCCAGACCATCGCTGTCCTCGCTCCCGAGATTTCGGGCGCGCAGGCTCAAACCTTTTGATGTTATTTGTTTCACTAACCAATTCTGCAAAAAAAAAGTTTCTCAGGCAAACGTAGCATGGCCTGGCTCGTTTTTAAACGCGTTTCGACCCACTGTTTTCAACACAAATGAAATTCCTTGTGTCTTTCCGGGCAAGAAGGTCTGCCGAGTAGAACACTAGGACCCACATTATAGCTCCCGGTCAGGAGCTGAAGGGCCGTTCCGTTCCACCGCGGGGTGTCTTCCGCCGTTCTGCTTCTATCATTCTGCCCGTGCTGCCATTCGGGCACCACGGGGTGGGATTTCCTTGTCGATCCGGATGCCCTTAGAGGGATATATCATATCACATTTGTCCCTTCCTGACGCTGAGGTGGTCCAAAAGTTGGCGCATAGACTCCAGCTTGGCTTAATGGACCCATGCTGGAGTTGGACTGCAGGGACAGCCGCTCGGTACTGGCTGGCACCGGACTGGCACCGGACCCTTGCATGGTCTCAATGTGAACACGCGTTACAAACGTTATCAATCATACGTTAATCAACAATCATACGTTACAATGTTTCTTTTCATTGTTAGAGGGCCCCGGCCAGCGCAAGAGGTCCTCTGTCATTCGGGGTTCCGTCTCCGTCCCTGTTGAGCAGATGTTCCGCTGACTGACTCGAATCCGCTTGTTAACGCAGAACACCGTGTTAGGCACTGGGCCTCTGATAGGTACAGGAGTCCCGTATTGTTGCAGGGGCTGTGACCAGTGCAAATCGCCGACCCGGCCTTGACCCGGCTTGGGAAATGGGTCCCAGGAGATCAGACCGACACAGAGCCGACTGTCTGGTGTTGGTGGTCTCTGGCCGAAATAAAACGCTCTGACTCGCGGGTCCCAAATCAGTACAAGGGACTCTCTAACTGGCATTTCAGATCACGGTCCTACGGGCGGGGTACGAAATGTGACCTACAGCCAGCTCTTCGGGCCCCTCAGCCTTCCTATCGGACCTTTGATCTTTGGTTCCGAGGATCCCTTCGTCCCCCTCGGAGCAAAGCCTCAAGCAAAGCCTGTGACCGACTTGGGGCCACTAGCTGACACATGACACCCTGTCAGGCACTGTGGACCCCTGGCCGACGAAGGGGCCCCATTCATTGTTTCAGGGCCTAGACAATCGTGAGTTGTGGCCCCCAGCCTTGCTCGAATTTGGCAAATGGCCCCCAGGGTTCAGAGTGACAGTGATCCAACTGTTCGGTGCTCGTAGTCTCTCGCCGATCGAGACATCCGCATTGTTTCAGTGATCCTCAGACGGTGCAAGAGGACCTCTCACTGATATTTTAGGTCACGACTCTGCGGGCCGCGATTCTTTATGCCATCTACAGCCAGTCCTTCAGGTCCTTATACCCTCCAACCGTTGATCGTTGGCTCCACTGGGCCGTCCGGGCCCCTCTTCGGGCCTCATCGAGCACTGCCCCTGGTTGGCTCGGAGCCCCATGGAATACAGGAACCTATGGTAGTTACCGCGGGACTCTGACAGCTGCAGGGGTCCCGACTATTATAAATCGCTGTCTCCGGCTTTGTAGCTGATTATGAAGCAGGCCCTTAGGCCAAGCCGACACAGAGCCGAGTGTGCGGTACTGATGATGCTTGACCGACATATCGGCCCATATCGACCCAGGGGGCCCCTGATGAGCGCGCAGAGCCCTCTGGATGGCATTGAAGTGCCAGGCCCTGCGGATCGGACCCCTGAATGCCACCTCCGGTCAGCATTTTGGGCCCTTTGGGCCTTGAAATTGTACCCTTAATCATAGGTCCCGAGGGGCCCATTCGGCCCCTCGGGACCTACGATTCTGACCATCTATAAGACTTGATCATCCACTTAAGGACAGGGGAAGGCACGTGTCCATTATGCCCCCCCCCCCCTTGCCTGGGCTACTGATGTCATGCAACGTACAGCAACTCAAGCGTTCAATTCAAACTCCATTCGCTTGGTGGCAGCAAGCGCCACCTATATCAATGAGTTGCGCCTTCCGTCGCTGGTGGCAGGAGCATCGGCGGCTTGTGTGTACTGCACTGGTATGGATGTCTGAATGTGTATGGATTGGTTCATTGACTGACATACTCATTATAATTTGTTTGTCGCCAGATTCGTCAAAAGTAACAGCCATGGCTGATGTTAAAAGCAGTTGTTGATAGTTTAGGGTTCTGACAACGCCGGTGTTTCATTCTGCCTGTCGGGTACCGCTGTGAGCTGGGTCTACCCCGTGGTGCTTGGGTGGTTATCACACGTTTGAATATTCAAATCATGTTCGGTATTTTTTCATTTACTCGGCATTAACGCATACGTGGTATGGAAATTGCTTCCATTGTTTCCAAAGGCGTACCAATTTAGTGAATATTTTAGCTGCATACAAACGTGACATAATGACGTCGACGCAAAACTAAGAAGCACGCAGACATAAAGTGCACAAATTTACTAAATATGGGGGTTATTGTGGGATAGGGAATTCAAATCTGTTTGCCCTAATTTACGAATTATGTGGGTAAGTAACAGGCGCGCATGTCTTCAAGCCTGCGGAAAATGTTGGCCGCGAGAGAGGATCCCTAGCCACTTACCCTGCTCCTCGTCAAACACAAAGTTCTCTTAGGACAGTTTTTGTTGTAATTAATCGCGCAAAGGAACACAGTTGGAGCCAGTATTGCGCAGTCTCGTACAACATCGATTCCGTGCTCTTCAATATACTCAACGTTGTATTGGAACAGGCGAGCAGTTACGTTGTACTTTAGGAGGTAAACACAGAAGTAAGGGCCATTTAATCTCGTGGTGAGTTAAAATGTGCATCATGTTTTAACTCACCACGGACCTAAGGCTCAAGCGGCTCTGGTCTCTGAGGTACACGCCCGCGAAAATGGAGAAAGGTGTACCGGGAGAGTATTCAAAGTCATCTCAGCATTCATGCCGTCATAATATTGTCATTCTAGCCCTCGCATTACATAAGCCATGCAGCGATCAAGGCCAAGACAAATACAGTTGTTGAGTTGTTCATGTCTGGCGTTCTTGAGCACGTTTTACAGATATAACGGCCGCCAATTGGATCTCAATCACGGCACTGCAAGGTACGATAAGGTGATCACACGCTGACGCATTGAGAAGCAAATCTACTAAACAGAGAATTGTGCTCCTAGAACAGTCTTCTCCCCTTAAAAAGTATAACAATAGTTATAAGTGAACTTATTGCATCACACCTAATGCTTGCTCCAATGTTTTCAAATGTGAGACATTCCCTTAAGATTCAGTGGGTAAACGTTGTTATATCAGTCATCGGCATTCAGCATAGTCATTTTTCACAACAGAAGTGATTAGTGCATTGTCTAGGCACATACCTACACAATATGCCACGGACAGAGGTGATCCAGGTTTGGAAATGGAGCCTTGGGTATAGGTCACAACTTGGCTCACCTCATGCAACACATTTCTGGAGCGGACAAAGTGAATCTCTGTGTCTAAGCCAGAGGATGGCTTAAGTATATAGTTTATATAGTTAATAGTTTCGGTGCGAGTGAACCACACGTATGCAAGAAACTGTTGCAGTTTTCTGACCACTGTTTGAGTTGATTAAGTGACATAGTGGTCACTTGTTTAAATGTTGTATTATGTGTGAGATTCTGCACCTGGAATAATGGGTATAGCATTGAATACATCAAATACTTGAAATCGGGCTTCCAGGCGCAGCCAGCTTTTCCGGGAACATTTCTTTGCGGGGACGGGATTTCCAAATATGGATTGCGGGCCGGTCAGTTATTAAGTCTAAAGAAGGGACAGCTTTACAATACACTATATAGACTCGGCGATTTATGTCGAAATAGGGGACAGCGATGTAGCCGAGGGCATGTAAGGAGACGGCTGATGAGTGGAGCCGGATGGGACCCGGGACCATGAGCGATAGATAGTTTCATAGTCCAGCAGGAAACATGCCCAGATAATTCCACCGACACCCGAAGAAGTCTACCGCTCTGCGATTGGTCGATCTCGACTGGGCCGGCTTCTCTTGACCAATGAGCGGGCAGTATCTCGCCGTTCTGCCAACGTTGGCCGGTGCCCAGTTTAGCAACGTTGTGGTCTGGCGTGTTTAGGGCTCGCTGATCCCGAATAAATTCCATAGGTTTTGTGTCGAAGGTGAAAATGTGAATGGAGCATATCAATACCTCGTGTGATGCTACATTCCAGGCTACTTCACGGGTGCAGCGTTGAATATGACAAATATTCTAAGGGACGAGTCCCCATGCTACAGCACCCACAAATACTTATTTCAACCACGCACAATTTACATCTTTGTTTGTGTAACATATTTCCAAGATAACGCGGCAAACGACTGATATTGTTGCTTTGCCCGTACACATTTTGTGCACAGGCGCTGGGAGGCGTCATTGCTTCTCACGAAATAGGACGCACTGTGCGTCGGCCGCCATGATGAGCCATCAGAACGCTTTGCCGCGGTCACGGACTGACAATGCAAACGTACGGTGGCTCCGCCCAAATTTCTACGGCTAGCCAATGAAAGACCGGCTATTAACTGCTAACTAATGAAATGAAGCCTGACGGCCGATGTCTTTGGCATTTCAGCCAATGACAAGGCAGCAGGGCGCCGGCGATCGGCAGCACGGCGGCCATTGGTCAACAGCCTCGGGGAGGCCAGTTAATACGCTGCGGGTCTCGGGTTCGTCTCGCTGCTGCTCCAGCATTGCCGTGTGTTCACTATCGCCGTGTAGCCGTGACTGCAGCATTGTCAGATGTGTGCGACGGCTGCACCAGTGGCGTCGGGCAACCAGCGGTCGGACCAGCACACAGCAGACCAGCACAGGCGACAGCAGACGGACGGGCCGGTGACACGAGCGTCCGGACCAAGCACCGGCCGGCCACGGGCTCACCCGCCAACCGGGGGCGGCCCAGTGCGGACGCTCCACCGGCGGCCGGCTGGGACGCAGTCAGACCTCGCCAACGAGACGCCCGTCAGCAACTGACTGCCGCACAGCTCCGGCTGCACAGACACGCTGCTCAACACGCCTCTCCCCAGCCAGCTGCCGCTCGCAGCACACGGTTGCAGCACGTGCCGACACAGCACGGCCGTGCCGCACGGCGTGGCGGCAGGCACGTGCAGGCACGTGGCGACACGCGGCGTCGGCAGTGGAGGGCGTGCGCCGGTGGGCCGGCAACACGTGGCTGTGGCGTGTCGGACGGTGGCGGCGCACCTGACCGGGCCGGGCCGCAGCACTGTGGCCTGTGTGATGCTCACCATGGCTTATATTTCCTCAGGCTGAGCGGGCCGGGCGACAGCGGCGGCAGACGCTGCAGATGCCCGGCTGCCGGCAGAGCGTGGGTCGACATCAGCCACCGAACACACACGGCGGCTGGCTCACACAAACACCGGTCACCGCAGCACGGGGTCGTGCGCTCCGTCTTCTCGCCGCGGCAACCCAGGCGCCACGTGAACAAGCGACCGCCGGGGGTGCAGTGTAACAATGGAAGGTAGCACGGTCACCCAGACGTATCCCCGACGAGGATGCGGTGCGATGCACTTTCAACGTGCAATCACTGCTTAGTTAGCTGACTCGGAGCTCAGCCGTCGGACCAGACTTGGCGCGACAATTCCAGCCTCCGATAAATAGCCTGGGGCGCATAATCAACGATCCCATTGACGGAGCGACGAACGCTCAGTTCGCTCCATCCGTCGACACGGAGGAGAGCGGGTGCGACATCCACCTACCGTTGACCTCGAGCGTGACGTCACGGTCCGGGGGCAGCTGGCGCACCAGGCTGTCTACCAGGGACCTGGTCCGGTCTAGGTCAGACCACCCCCACCCCAGTACCGTCAGTGACGGACAGCCGAGCACCAGCCTGCAACAGAGCACAGCACACGTCACACCCACAACACCGGCACACAGCGGAACAAAGGGCGCACCACCCACGTGCTCCGTGGTGCGCCACGCGCCAAATCAACTGTTCGCCAGCGTCAGCAGACGTTAGCCTGCGAGGCTTCCGCCGCCGTAACAGCGGGTGCCGCCCCCTGCAGCCGGCTCTGACTGGACGGATGACGCAGTGGGGAGCCCGGTGTGACGTCAGAGCCCGTCCCGGCCGCAACACCCCGGGCACATGGGGCTTGCACCACGTGACGGCCCTGGGAGCGGGACGCACAAGTGCTGTCTCGCGGTGAGCTCAGCTGCGGAGGAGCAGACTCTACGGCCACCGGTATGGGCCGGCACCGGGTCACACCTACGGGGGGATGGCGACGCGGAGGGGACAGGGCGAGCACACCGCAGGCAGGGGCACAGCCTGGTTCATTAAGGCTGCAGTTCGCTGGCCGTTCAACACCGGCCCGTCTTGGGCCAGGCTTAGACTACTGATCGAGGTCACATATCAGCTGCCTCGGCTGGGCTCGGCTGGGCAGGAAACACGCCGAGAGCTAAACAACAACAACAGGCAGCCTCCCGGGGTGTCCAGGCCACGTGAAACGCCGCCAGTTTGCAATGTTCCTCATCTAATCGCCTTCGTCACGTCCCCCACCGGTGAGCTCACCGTGTGACCCCATCTGTTGAACAAGAGACGCACTCGGTCAGGTTCAGCATCCTCAGACGCGGCCCGTGTAGCCGGTCCAGTGTGGCGTCCGTCACAGCTGACAGCCTGGTCAGGTCCAGCTGACGCAGCTGCCTGAGCCGCGGCAGGCTGTCCAGCCCAACAACCGTCACCCCGCGACACCCTGAAACACACAAGAAGCCGGACCGGGTCCAATGCATCAGCACCGTCACGTGATCGCCAGATGACGTCAGAACATGAACAGCGGCTGAACCGCTGGTGCTGTGGACAACACCGCCTTTCGCAACTTCATGGCGGAGCCACGGTATGCGGGGTCGGGAGCGTGTCCTATTGATATGGAACAGCTGGCTTTAATGCGTCACTTCAGCTGCACCATCACCGTGTTGCCACTACGGAATACACGGAAACTGCGTGATGTGGAATATGCTCACCGCATATGCTGAGTGAATGCAGGCCTGGCAGCAGGTCGGGCAGCCGCTTCAGCGTGGAGTCGGTGACTCCACCGGAGTCCGTCACGTCCAGGTGTCGGAGGGAGGGGAGGCCGGCCGGCGGCAGGCAGAGCTCCAGCGCCGGCTCCAGCCTCCACGCCGTCAGCCGCTCCAGCTGTGGACAGCCGGCCAGCACCGCCGCCAGGTCTGCCGCCTGCAGCCCCTTCACCCATGACACGTCCAGCCGCCGCAGCCGAGGACAGCGGGTCAGCTGACGCAGGCAGGCCGACTGTAGATGTAGACAATAGGCCACCGAGAGAGCCTCCAATGACTCGGGGAGCAGCGATAAACACTCTCCCCGCACGTCACTCTCCGCCACGTCCAGCCGCCGCAGGGACGGCAGGCGGCGAAGCAGCGCCTCCGCGCACCGCTCGGCAGACCCGCGAGGCAGCGTGACGTCCCCCAGCCGGGGACACCTGGAGCACAGCCCCTCCAGAGGCTGTGGGGCCGCGTCGAAGTAGAACAAATCCAACGCTTCCAGGTATCTTGAGAGCCGGGCTGGAACGACACACGGGTTTCAGTTTGAGACAGCGCTGCGTCCTGCAGCCTTTGCCCTCGCTCCCAGACTCCGTCCGATAACACCGCGACTGAGGCATGCGCCATTCAATGATAACGCTTTAGAGGCGTCTGTCGCACTCACACTGACAAAACACACAAAACACTCACAGACGACGTCAACGGATAACGGCGCCGGCAGTGAGCAGTAATGGTAGGTTGTGAGCCGTCGCAGGGACGGCATGCGGCGTATCAGCCGCTCCAGCCGCTCGTTGTTGGCGTGCCGCACGTCGTCTCCGGTAAGGTGGAGGTCGTGGCGGCGCCCCAGGCTGTCGTCCACTGCCTGGCGCCAGCCACGCGACACTGCCGGCACCGACAGAGCACACTGTACAGCGGACCGCAGCGGCGCAGACGACGTTCATGTGCCACAAAAACATTCCACCGGTCAGCACACCCAGCCAGTGACAACGTTTGACGCTCAAGCGTGACAGTGAGTTGAAAACACACGTCACCGCCATTTCCCTGTGAGAGTAGGAGATCTTACGCTGGCGGCGGTTGGCGGCCAGGTCGCTGGCAGCTGGTGCTGTCTTACCTGCTCGGAACACCGGCGCAAACAATCCGCATCAAGCGGTTCCATAGACAAAAAAACATAACAATTCGACAACTGGAGGGCTTGAAGTCTGGGACCCATGCGACGACAAAGCAGTACGTAATGCAAATGGGGCCCGCGAAAATAGTACAGCAAATGATCCCAAACTGAAGCTGACAACGGCCAGCCATGCCACCATTTAGCGTGATCAATACCTTCACGTTGCACGATCTGGAGGGTGAGAGGGTAATCTTCGGCATATCTTTTTGCGACTTCTTTAGAAATCATACGTTGGGCTCAATTTGTACACACTTGAACAACGCGTAAAAACTTGCGTCTGCATTCTATGTAAAACTTTTGCACTATTTATCACGACTTATACAAAATGCAGTCACGTTTAAAGATGGCATTTACAACAGATTGCGAATACAAGCTGAACGCTCTACCTCTCTCCTACCCCACGGCCTTTCTCAAACTGCCTCTTATTACTCTGACATTTGCCAGCACAATTTTCAACAATACGTCACGCGCTCAACGCTCGCGCTTGCTGTAGGCTTGGTCTTCTTCAAGAGGGAGGCGTGTGGTGGCAAAATATCAAACACGGCTCACACTAACATTACTTGGGGTGGTCCTGAGGGCTTGGTCTTGAGGGGTTAAGAGGGGGGAGGGGGAGGGAATGTGCGGGAGGGGGAGGAACAATTGTCTGGCAACACTGAACAGTCGGTTCCGTGTTGATCGGGACGTGCGGGCCCATTTCCCGTGCAGGAGGAAGTCCGCGGCCCGCGATTTGCATAGGTCGGGGCCCCTAAGTCAATGAAGGCCTTTCACGGTTGGTTCGGGGCCTACAGGGCCTAAAAGTGCGGCTTTTGTCGGCAAGTGCCTCTATTCGGTCACGGGCAGTGTTCAAGGAGACCACACAGCTCACAGGGTGTAGCGGCGCGAATGGAGGGCTCGGAGGGCACGAGTGCTTGCTGCAGGTGACATTAAGAACCCCGGCTCCAAGGACAGGGCCCTCGAATGTCAGTCAGTGGGCCTCTTGCACTGATTGTAGACCCCTTGTGACAATGCGGGCGCCTATTTTAGCCAGGGACCACCAACACAGAACGGTTGGATGCGTGTCAGTCTGGGCCCTGCAGACATATTTTTCAAGCAAGAAAGAGGCCCGGGCCCGAGATTGGCGCTGGTAGGAGCCACTGAAATAATAGGGGGCCCTGTGTCAGTCAGGGGCCCACAGTGCCTTCGGTGCTGGCAAGGGGCCTCGAGTCAGCCTGGGGAACGTTTACTGAACATGGACAGGGACGGGACCTCGAATGTCACAGGGCCTATTGCGTTGACACTCTCGGACCAACGTGACCTTCCGTCCGCACGTTGTCCGTCGCCTGACATTAGTCACGGGACAAAACGCAGCGAGGCTTAAGGAGACTGGAATGCCGGGCGTCCGGGTGTTTGACATGCGAGCGCGCATATTCAAAAATATGCTGCATAATGTAGGACAACCCGATTCTAAATGACGGTAGACCATACCAATGGAAATGTTTGACCTCGGTACGATGTTTACGGGCCCTCTATATGTCTGTAGAATCCAGAAAAATACCGACAAAGGACCTGAGCGTTAGGCGCCACTCGCTGCTCTTGGTTCAGAAAGAGTCCACTGAACCGTTGTAACGTGAATAACGCCGGTGGTTTATTCCATGTAGTCATTAAATCCTGTTTTCAGTTTACTCACTTCAAAGTCCAACGAGAAAGACACCTTGCGGTGGCTTACGTGTTTTTTTTTTGACATATGGGTGGAGGCAAAAATCAGTTACGCTTTTTAGGGGGAGGACATTTTATAACCAGGGACCTTATGTCGGCCCTGCACTCTCTCCTCTTACGAAGATTCTGGCTGCGCCCCTGGTCGCCGTGATGGCCACGACTGTCGTGTGCTCATGAGTAGATAAGAATGTCCGGTGGACATATCTACGGTCTATGTGCTTTGACATAAACAACACTGGCAGTGGTGGTCACCTTGGGCGTGAAGGGAGAGGTTGGAGAGGCTGTGGCTGGTGGGGTGGGATTGGGTGCTAGTGACGTACAGTCCTGTTCCCCGCCTCTCATGAAGCGCCCGCTCGGGACTCTCGAATTACCAAGGTGAGCTTCTCGGGACTCGATGCTGTTATCTGGGTATGCTAATTATTCTTACAAATTCATGTTGCCTAATGTTTCAGTAAAGTACCAACACACGACTACAGCAAAGAGAATCAACATCACATCCATGGCACTACATCAAGTCATGTGTCTTACAGTTGACGAAGTAGTCGATAGCCGGCTAACCAGTCTACAAACCGCCATGACCGATAACATAGGCAGGCATCGTACGTGAGGAAGAGCCAGGAGGATCTACAATGCCAAAACCAGCCAAGCCATAGTTTCTCACGCAAAGCTGTTCATCGCGGCTGAAGAGAAACGCTTCCAGTATGACCCTTGATCTTTCGAAGCTCACAAGGCTCATCGCAATAATCGTAATCCATGAAGCTTGTGGTCAACGTTCTGCCAGCTCTTGGTAGAGCGTCGATTTCATGGGAGTGATATGTGGCTGGTCAGGCACGACGACTTAAAATGCCTTGCAGTTTTGATCATAATGGTCCGAGATGTCCCTATTCTCTTTGTGTTGTAGGAGTATGCAGCCGTGACATTAGCGAGCCCTCGCAATTATTGCGTCACATTGAGACAGGTACATCAATGCATGATTTTTTATGGTCCGTGTTTGGTGTGCTGCCAGGAGAGCTAATGTTGACCGTTCGCCAAAGGGAGGGGGAGGAGCGCAGTTGGCCACAGCAATAAATTAGGCATTTATCAAAAATATGGCGGGATCAGTCAGCTGAGAAACAAAACTTCAGGTAGGAATTAGCTTATTGGGGCCTCAGTCCCCCTCCCCTAGTCACTTAGAAAGTTTGAACTCCCCTTGGGAGCTCAAGATAAGTGAGACTGTCAGTGAAATCAGGTCATTTGATCAGAACTTAGCCGCGAGTGGAAGAGTCTGCAATGTGCGTGCGAGGGATATCATGGCAACATGGGTGTAACCCCGACAGGTGGGCAGGGGTGGGAGAGAGACAGCACTCAGCTATACGGACCTAGCACCCAGGGGCCGATCCAGAGGAGGGGGGGGGCAGGGGGCCACATCCCCCCCCCTTGGGCCCCGAAGGGGCCCCATGGCCGGCCGAACAGGTGCAGTTTTTGAAATACAAAGCGCAACACAGCTGGGTATCCCTTGACTTCCAGGCGACCAAGAACAATTGTGAGCAAAAGTGCAGGGGCTATGAGAAGTTGAAAAAATCATTCAATGATTTGAAAAGTTGTTAACTGGAAATTTTAAGCCTTATTACATTGTTTAGAGGCCCCATGCTGTTTGCGGGGCTTAAACGCCCACTTACAGGATCATTCCGATCGTTAAGGAGCGTTCCACGTTTCCCTTTATCTCTTTGCATTTGCTCGGAGGGCCTTGCGCTGTTGTTGGAGCCCTTCCTCTTAGCGTGCCTTGGCACTCTTGTCAATCATGGGCCCTTACACGGATTCTTTCCATTCGCCAGAAAGGCTCCTGGGCACTTCTTTTCTGAATGGGAGGGGGAGGGGTTACGCTCTTGTGGGGTCTGTTTGATAGCCTGCTCGGGCACATTCGATCGTTCGGGGTCCTCTACGTTGGGGCTTGGGCACGTGCTATTTGAATGCGGCCCTACGCACTTGTCGGGCGCCCCTTCTGTTTGCCACCTCGGCCATGTTGGATTGCCCGGGGGCCCCGCACATTGTTTCTTGGTGTTTGAATTTAGGGCCCTCTTCTCCTATCGGGTCATCTGATAACCTGTTCGGCTAGACTCCATCTCTGGGGAGCCCTCCGCACCGGGTTTTGGGTACTTCTTATTCGAATGGAGGACCTTACGCTCCTGTCGGAACCCCTTCTTATAAGATCATTGGGCCCATTCGATAATGGGGGACCTCTACATCTGGTTTTGGATACTTCCTTTTAAGCGGAGGACCCTCTGCCCTTTTCGGGGCCCCAAATCGACTGCTACCGTGGTGCA